AGGGAGGGAGGAAGGGAGGGAGGAAGGGAGGGAGGAAGGGAGGGGGGGAAGGAAAGGAGGGAGAGAGGAAGGGAGGGAGGGAAGAAGGAAAGGAGGAAGGGAGGAAGGGAGGGAGGGAGGAAGGAAAGGAGGGAGGGAGGAAGGGAGGGAGGGAGGGAGAACACCGAAAAATCAGAAGGAAAGAATGAAGAGAGAGAGGGCAGCAATATACCTTACATACTATCAGAAATTTAACATTTAGACTTAAAATAACAAAAATGTCTGATAAAGTATCATGTATTTTAAATCACGAATTATATATCAACCTGACTCCTTAAATAAACTCTAGCATCAAGGAAATTGTCTGAAGAGTAGAAAGTACAAAGCAGAGATTTACTTTTCACCTGATTAATACTTTGTATTAAAATAATCCAAAACAGCTCTGTTAATTGCTGTTAAATTCAGTTTCCACTTTTCTATAAAATTAAAATTATTTTTGGTAGAAAAGCCACTTTTTAAAAAAATGTCAAAAAATATTTTAACATTTTCAAGTCAACATACACAAAATTATTTATGTCAAATGCCATCACATAGACTCCAACATGCCAGATTCTTCAACTCTTTTATTCACCCCAGGCAAATTTCAGTTTGCCATAAATCTTCCTTATGGCCAAGTCCCACTAGACTTCTATTTTAATTAAACATAGAAAATATTTGCATTATGTTTTTCCCGTGCCCCCAACCCTCCATCAACAGTGAATTGGGAACCCAGCTATGCATTAACCCAATGTTATAAGGAAGCTGTACATATGTACAAAGCTCAGTTTCAGTTCTCTGGGAAAAGAGTAGGCAACAGTGATTTGCTGCAATGCATTACATGTTAATGTCACCAAAGATGTCAAATGAGCAAGTGACAATGGAGGGGTCCAGGAAACATCAAGATCCCTAAATGAAAGATTGTCATAAATATTTATCTAATAGCCACTGGAGAGATCACTGAATTCTCAGCAATCAATCTGGCAGTGATTTGGTCACCAAGGTGCAAAGGCAGATGGGATTGCCTTAAGTTCACTTTACACAAAGCTTCCCCAATGTGAGAGGAATTATATTTGCAGAGGAGGATGACGGCATTATGAGAATAGAGGGGACAGTGACTCGGTAAATCAGTACTGGAGCTCTTTCACTTCCTTGCTAATTCTCTCTGCTTCACACTCAGAAGACTAGATATGTGTCTTTCTCATCTCTCTTTCCCTACATAAAAATCTGTGTTTTATTTCAACTTTATTATATATGCAAGTTACCAGAGCTAAGAAAGGCTTGAACCTGAGTTAAGGTAAAAGACGGGGGAAAAAATACACATCCCAAACCAGTTTCATTTATATAATGAAAATAAATTTTTACACAATCAACAGAAACACACCAAGATTTTTTTTTTTTTTGCGAAAAATATTTTTAAATAATTTTTTCTTTTTTTCTTACATTCTGATATACATATGTAACAAGGTTTATGGTACTGTAGCCAGAATCAAATCAAAGGAAAAAAAAAAGGAAAAAGGTGGGAAGGAAAGTAACTGATATATTGTTGAATTCCTTTCTATCTCCAAGCTGGCAAATTTGCAATATTTGTCTATCATTCAGCTGCCAGCTCTAACTTGTTTGCACACTTAAAACATCATATTATTGCACAGGGAGCCAGTGAAGGCATACGGTATAATGGTCAGTTCCTTACTATTAAAAAAAAAAAAAAAATCTCTTAAACACAGAGAAGGAAAAAAAAAAAAAATCCAGAGCATGAAACACACAAAATCAGATATCCTTTGTCTCTTTAAAGAATGCCTGAAGGATTCTTAGACCACTTAAGCTGCCCTGATTTTCTCTTTGCACCAGTGAGCACAACAGGGCCTGGTTTGGTAGGTTTTTGTTTTCTATGTGGACAGCCCAGGAGGACCCCAGGCCTTGGTGATTCAATGTCTTTTCTATTTACTTTTGGTTCTTTTTAATTGGTTTAAAGTGTGTAGTATCTTCGGTCTATGAACCTGCACAGACTATTTAGTCATAAACTCTACAAATAGCTTAAAAGGAAAAGGGGGAGAAACGAGTTGTATTACATTTTTATTGTTGGCTTAAAAAAATTACTTCTTTAACCTCCCTAATTTGTCAGTTTGTGGGAGGTGAATCTCAATGGCATCAAAAGTTATAGTCTTCTCACACTTGTTAAAAATAAAGTGTTTAAACAAGTTTGTTTCCATTCACAAACTTTACTCCCAACTAAAAAAAAAAAAAAAAAGAAAAAGAAAAAAACCAGAATCCATCCTCCTTCCTTATTGTCTCCTAATGGAGAACAGGAATCCTTCCCATCCAGACCATCATCACACAACCGTCTCCACGCCCATCAGCTTTGGTGTAAGGATTCTCGGTGTCACACCATTGTTTAGGTCTTCCTCGAACTCCAGCAACTGCCCCATGAAGTTAAGGTTTGGGGAGATAATTGGTCGTTTGCCTTTGACAAATTTATAAGCATCAGTCATGGTCATCCGAGTGTGCTTCATCAAGTAAGCAATGACGATGGTGGCGGAGCGGGATACCCCAGCCTGGCAGTGGATGAGAAGCCCCTTCCCACACTGGTGAGCTTCCTCTGGAAAAGGGGAGAAAGACAAGAGATGAAGAGAAGACGAAAGAGAGAGGCATGGAGGGAGAAACTTTTATCTAAACTTTGCAATGCTTTATTTTGTCGAGAAACAGTGAATTAAAACAGTTTTAAAGCCAAGTATAATCTACAAGTTCATTATGTATATTCATGTCACAACTTCCAGAACTGGCAAAAGTTGATATCAGCATGAATGAGAAGCTATACATCTACACTTAAAGAGAGGATTAAATGAAATAATTGCTCATAGGAACAATTTGCTTCACAGGTGACAGCAGTGGCCTAAAGCCAGACCTATAACACAGTTAACTTTCATGTTGAACAAGCTACTGATGAAGTCCACTATAACAGTCACTGACCCTCTCTCAAATGTCATGTTCTCTTTTTTTCTGGAATCACACTACTGAAAAAAAAAAATGAAGGAAGGAAAAGGAGAGAGGGAGGGGGAAATTATACACACAAACACACATACACACACACACACACAAATATATGTATGTATATGTGTGTGTATGTATATATATATTTATATAAATATATAAATATATAAATATAAATAAGTAAATATATATGTATGTATATAAAACAGTTCCTCTTTGGATTAAGAATGTTAATTCCAATTGTCAGCTACCTAGTGCTTGTAACAACAACTCTCTCACCTGTGATAGAGAAAAAACACTTTTTTTATTCTATAGATTTGCTCTGTACAGGAACGGGCATTAAATGGATAAGAGTTTTAGTCATACTAAACCCTGATTAAAGTTAAAGGAATACAGCTAAACTAGAAAGACACTATGTTCAGCTTCTCCCCAGAAAATCCAGTTGTTGCAAAGTTAACTAAAGACCAGTAGTGTACAGGCTCACGGTGTTACCTCACAAGTGTTCAACCCCCTTTGCATCCTCGTATGACATTCTAATATGGCAATAATGCAGAAGATGGAGGAATTCCATCAATGGCTCAAAATCCAGTGCAATTTAAAGAGAGAGGCTTGCTAAGTTTTTAGATATATTAAAGACTCAGGAGAATAGCATGTGGGCACTGACTGAACAGATTATTAATGACATTTCTAGACTATAACGCATCCCTAAGAAAGCTTCCTTGAAGGAACACCAATTAGATAAACAGGTAGTGAGGGAGAAGGGGTAGAGAGAGTAGTCATTTCACCTAAACTGCTTCTGTACCAAACTACTTCTAGTGGACCAAGAAAAAGAAAAGAAACCTGATGTAGCTTTGTATCTCAATTGACAGATGAGGTTTATGTCTCATAGTCAACAGTATTTCAAGAAAAGCATCTCTCTTTTTCCACTTCTTCCCTTCAGCACACAATATTTAGTTCCAAGTCAAGACTAGAAATCATGGTGGTAAGAGAATGAGCTTCTAAGTGCCCAGCTAGACTACGGTTCCACTACACACACTTGATTCAGGAATTAATAAACTGGCATAAACACTAAACTTAGATGCTGCTTAGTTTATATTAGACTCTCAGTGAAAGTTATTATGTTTATAAAACCTGCTGTGTTTTTCCTAAAGCAAGACTGTGAGATTTCAGTTTACCCAATAATATAACAATGAAAATAAAACTGTGCCTGTGCGGGTTGTGATTCGGAATTGTTCTTCAGGCTAAATGCTATTTGTTATTGGTTTTGTTTTCCTTCCAAAAAAGGGGGGGGGGGTGGGCACAGGTAAGCCTGAGTAATCTATAATGAATGTGAGAGCTTTGGTTGAAATCCTCTTAGAACAAGAGGATTTCTTACCCTACTCATTAAATAGAAAATAATTTCCTAACTTCCTCCAACTGGAATTAAGTCAGATGGAATCTCAGTCATAACATCATGTATCAACCAGAAGTTCCTCATCTGCTTGTTGAGAAATTTTTCTTCCTCAGTGCTCCAGGTTTGGCTCAGATTTTATTAATAAAGAATCTACAGTATCTCTGCATCCTCAAGTGTTGCCAGTTGGGAGCTACTTAATAGGGCATCATAAACATCACCCTAGTGTGTTATGAAAAGCCTCAGCCTTGGGAGTCAAAAACCCTGGATTCTGGTCCCTTCTTGGACACTAGAATTCCTATGACCGTGGAGAAGTCACTTTACTTCTTTAAGTTCAGTGATCACTCTGAATGTCCTTTCAGACTCAGTATTCCACGGTCCTGTGCTCATGGCATAATTAGCAATGAAAACAGCTTGCCAAAATGACCAGAGATATAACACTACAGTATATCCA